TGGAACCGATGCGACTGCGCTTCACTCTTATCATGTTCTTTGCCTCTTTACGAGAAGAAGCCCCCCCCCCAAAGCTTGTTACAACTCTCTAAAAAAACGACGTTTCCAGGTCGATAGCAACGACGATTCAGGCCGAGCTACGACTTCTTCTGAAGCCTCATCCGTATGCGATTTCCCTGTCGACGATGAACCTACCGGTGAGAAAAGTTTTTTCATTGTTTTTTTATACTTTCTCTTGACAAAGGGAAGACCTTCTCTCTCTGAAAATCGTCAACCAAGGTAGATGGTCGAAGATTAAACGATATCGCATTAGCCTTGAACATTCCACAGCCGACACTCCCAGCAGGCGCTTTAGAAAACTATGCGTCGCTCGATTCAGTAAATCGGAGAGTTCAAGGACATAGGAGGGATTTTACACGAATGTTTTCGAGTTTCGAGTTTTCAACCGTCTAATTTTAGCTTTTTTACCCTACCGTAGTCGACTGCCGTTTGGTTCTACACAATCGGTATTCGACCAAAATGATTTTTCAACGATTTCCGCACGTTTGGAACATATCAAGCAGGAATTCTTTGCCGGAACCGATAGTGAGTTCAACAAGGAAGCACTGAATGCGACTAAACAGATCTATTATTTCTCTTACAGAGCCCTATGCCTCGATGTCCGGATTTCAAACTCCCACTACAGCTCTTGGGGCTGCCATGCAAGACTTGAATATGAAAAGTATGTTCACTGCAAATCTTCAAAATTCGAATGAAATTACCTCAGGACTATCCTTTAAAAAAATCAGTGTTTAATGGGATTATAATCTACCATATGCCACCCTGATGGTGTAAATGGAGAATGGCACTCAATTACGGCTTCCTTATTAGTGCGCCCCGCCCATTTACTACGGTAAAGCAGCGTGCCAATTATGAAGGCTCTTCGGTGTACCGAAGTTTTCGTAGATATTACCATGAAATGTGCCCTCAAATAAGAGACAGATTAGTTATAGAAGGATTAAATCTCCGCCCCAGATGTTTCCGCCCTTGCACGCATTCTACCATTCAGAATCGTAGTGGCTTATTGAATGCGATGTGGCCTATACAATGACTTGCGGGGGCCAGCCGATGTACAAGTCAGTGTTTTATCCTCCCAGACGAATCTGGTACCAATTTACCGCCCCGGAGGGTAGAAGGCTTGATTGGCTTGGGCTGGTGTCGACCCGGAATT